CTTGGAAACTGAAGTCAGAAACCCCACATTGGGCTTGGAAGGTGAAGGCAGAAACCCCACATCTGACTTGGAAACTGAAGTCAGAAACCCCACATCGGGCTGGGAAGCTGAAGGCAGAAACCCCACATCAGGCTGGGAAGATCCTCCTGATTGTTTTGTCATGGCTGAGATCAAGGAGAAAATCTGCAACTATCTGTTTAATGTGTCCAACTCTTCTGCCCTGAATTTGGCTAAAAATATTGGCCTTACCAAGGCCCGAGATGTAAATGCCATGCTGATTGACTTGGAAAGGCAGGGAGATGTCTACAGGCAAGGGGCAACCCCTCCCATATGGTATCTGACTGACAAGAAGCGAGAAAGGATGCAAATCAAGAGAAATGCAAACAGTGTTCCTGAATCCACTCCAGCTGTAACCCCTGAGACCAAAAGAAGTGTCCAACTCCCCACCTGTAACTTACCTGTTTCAGGTGCTTCAGGCAACACAGTCGCCATGGGAAAAGTGGCAAATGGGCAGGAACCTGTCGTAAAGTTAGAAAATAGGCAAGAGGCCACACCAGAACCAGTCAAATTGAAACCACCTGTTCATGACAATGGCCCCTCAAAAACAGGGTACGTTGACTTTGAAAATGGCCAGTGGGCCACAGATGACATCCCAGATGACTTGAATAGTATCCGCGCAGCACCAGGTGAGTTTCGAGCCATCATGGAGATGCCCTCCTTCTACAGTCATGGCTTGCCACGGTGTTCACCCTACAAGAAACTGACTGAGTGCCAGCTGAAGAACCCCATCAGCGGGCTGTTAGAGTATGCTCAGTTCGCTAGTCAGACCTGTGAGTTCAACCTGATAGAGCAGAGTGGACCACCCCATGAACCTCGGTAAGAGACCACCCAGGAACTGTCCCTAGGGTTGGGGTCAGGCACTCTTGCTCCTGACACAGTCTCAGCTGACTGGTGAGCGGTACTGTTTGGTGGCCCCTGTCTTTTCCCTTTTCCTTTCTGCCTTTTGGCCAAATCACCCTCAATTGGCCCTTTCTCTAGATGTTGAGCCTGGTATATAGACCTCAGACCAGCCATAATCTTGGCTGAGCAAGGGGGAGGTTGGCTGTAATAGCTAAAACGGAGCTTCTTTAGAAATTACTAGCTTTTGCTCATCGATTCCTACCTGCTTGCTAAGGTTAGAGGTATTGAAGACTTGATTCCCTTCCTCCTCCTTCCCACGGGCCATCCTCCTCCACCCCCCAAGGTAAGTAAGTTCTCAAGAGAGGTTCAGGAGCAGGTGGGTTGGGACAGCTGCACACAAGGAATGAGGGTGGGCTGTGCTGCTAGGCAGCAGAAGGTCCACAGTCCCCCACACCCCACACCCCAGCTCCTGTAGGGAAAGGATGGAGCAAAATGATTGTGGTTGCCTGCCTGTTGAAGGTGGTGGTTCTAATTTTATATACCTCCCGTGCACAGATGAGCAGGCTAGAACTGGCTGCTGTTCCTGAGCTGTGGAGTGAGAGATCAACTTACTCAGACACCTGGTCGGGCCCTGCTTCATTGGGCCCTGCTGGCCAGTGGACAGACTGAGGAAGACAGGTGGGCCAGAAGGGAGGCCCCAAAGGGCCTAGCAGAGAGCTGAAACCACAGAAACCAAGTGGCTGCTGCAAGTGGCAGAGACAACCAGTGAGGACAGGAGGGAATTCTCCCAACCTTTGTAATAGCCTACGCTGGTTTTAGGGCTAAGGATTTGCAGCTGTGGCCCTTATTCCTTATCTTTACTCTCTTAATGGCATGAGACGGCAGTGCAGGAGAGCTTTTGGAAAGGTGGTGTGTCTGTGGCCAGAACTGACTTCTTTGCATTTGGGGCAGAGAGACTGTTGGTCATCATTCTCTTTCTTTCCCTCCATCCCCCTCCTCAGAGTTGGGGAACAGCAATGGAGTTTGTGGCCAATGGACTCCAGCTTTAAGAAACATTGGTACCATGCTCAAATATTTCAGAAGACATAGAAAATGAGGAATTTGGCCTACTTTCCTAAATCTCAGACTGAGCTAGGAGCTGAACAAGTTTGAAAGCTTGAACTAAGTTGAGAGACCTGGAGCAAATGCTTTTTGGTTTTCTAAATAACAAAAGGAAATTTCTTTCATCTCAGGCTTGGGACAAAGAGAGCTACATTGCTGTTGATGGGTGCTGTCAAGTTAGTTTCGACTTGTAGTAACCCTATCTACATACAACAGAAAGAACCCCTGCCAAGTGCTGTGCGCTCCCAGTCATTGTTGTGCTTGAGCTCATCGTTGCAGCCACTGTGTCAATCCATTAGATGGAGGGTCTTTCCCTTTCTAGCTGACCCTCTGCTTTACCAAGCGTGATATCCTTCTCCAAGAACTGGTCCCTTCTGATAATATGACCAAAGTATGAGAAATGAAGTCTGGCAATTCTTGCTTCTAAGCAGCATTCCAGCTGCACTTCTTCCAAGACAGATTGGTTCATTCTTCTGACAGTCCATAGTATTTTCAGTATTCTTGTGCAATACCACAATTCAAATGATCAGTTCTTCCTAACTCATCCTCTGGCTTTCACATGCATAGGAAACTGTTGTAAATACCATGACTTGGGTCACGTGCACAATGTTGTTGTGTTGTTGTTGTTTTGCCGTGGAGTCGGCCCCGACTCATAGCGACCCCTCCTTGGGTTTCCGAGGCAGTATCACTACAGAAGTAGGATTGTCCAACCTTCCTTCCGAGGAGTGGCTGGTGGGTTTGAACCACCAGCCTTCTGGTGAGCAGTCAGGTGCCTTAGGTACTATGCTACCAGAGCTCCTCACGTGCACAATAGAATGACTCAAACCAAAGGATAAGAGTGGTTATCTCTGAGGTGGTGGGGCCTCTGAGCAACAACAGAAGCAAAACAGGCCTCTGAGAAGTGGCAGGTATCTCTCTGATACCTGTACGGATCTGGGAGTGTGAGACTGGGCTATAAGACACCTTTCCTCTCTTTAGGAACTTCCTTTGAGGTGACCACAGTTGTTTAAGGATGATGGCCTTTTGGTTGACGATACTGTAATGGTGATTTTAGCTCATTATTATTTTTTGAACAGACTATCTTAATTCCTAAGAGATTCCCCTGAGCTATTTTTCACCCATGGCTATGTTTTGTCTAATGAGCCATCGGGAGAGAGTCACTGGTTGCTTTGTTTCCCCAAAGAAGGGACAGACTGAGCCTCCAAAGAGACAGGAGTCTCTTGATCTACCGTTCATCCTCTGAACAAGTCAGAAGCCCCTTAATAGTAAAACAAATTCCAGGGTGAAGATCTCTTTGGAGAAGGGCAGGAGGCTTGGCTAGACTGGTGTTCACACCTCTATAATCACTTTCCATCAAGATTTAAATTCCAGGTTGTCATCAGTGGCCGAGAGTTTCCCCCAGCTGAAGCTGGCAGCAAGAAAGTGGCCAAACAGGATGCAGCTATGAAGGCCATGACCATTCTGCTGGAGGAAGCTAAAGCCAAGGACAGCGGGAGGTCAGAGGAATCATACTACTATTCCCCAGAGAAAGAATCTGAGAAGGTAGGTGTCCTGCCCTCTGGAAGGACATAAGTTGGCTTTCATTGCACGTGAAGTGTCAGGATTTTCAACTGGCCTAAACAACAGATAAGGTGGCTGGGATCAGCTTCTTCCCTCTACCCTACATCACCAACCCACCTTTCCCCCTCTCAGATCCAGGCTTCCCTTTCTCTACTCATCCCCCAGCCTAGTTAGAACCCAAGAATTTTATAGTTGAAAGGGACCTTAAGGAGTTCAGTCTTCTTTCTTAGATAAGAAACGAGATCCGAGATCCAGAAAATTTAGATAACTAACTTTTCATACAATGACTAGAAAATACCCAGCAGCCCCTCTTCCTTTGGAAGGCCAACCGCTAAATTTAGTTGACTGAAAGAATTTTCCCATGCCATCCTCTGTGGTGAGCTACCCTATGTTTTTTACCCTACCCCCACCCCCTTCTCTTCTTGTGTCTCATTTTCTCCAGACTACTGAGTCCCAGCCCACCACCCCTTCAGCAACATCCTTTTTTTCTGGGAAGAACCCCGTTACTACATTGCTTGAGTGTGTGCACAAGTTGGGGAGCTCCTGTGAATTCCGCCTCCTGTCCAGGGAAGGCCCTGCGCATGACCCCAAGTATGTTTCATGCATCATCTACCTCTGCTGTGGATTTCTCCAAAAGAAATGAGACAGAGAGAGCAAGAAAGAGAGAAGCACACTTTGCTCCCTTCCTGCTCAGAGATGGCAGATTACTATTTTCAGTATGAGAAAAGAAGGGGCCTTAGAGGCATGTTTGCTGCTGTGGGACAGAGAATCTGGGTCTGGGAATTCAAAGGACAAAGCAGGAACCAAGTACTAGAGAAGTACACAGCTTGAACTGGACATACCTGAGAAACTCTCTGCTCTGAGGCTCTGCAGACTTACAAGTTCAATAGGGTTCCAGAAGGGGGGGGGTAAACAAGTTGTTACATAAATACTGAATCGGGGTTATCTTGGCCAAGAGAGACTGGAGGGTGGGGGGAACGTGTGGAGGGCACTGGCTAGTCAAGGCAGAGTGACTGCATGAGCCAGGGCACAGAGGGGTGCAAGGAGAATGCACGCAGTGAAGGATGACAGGCTGACCTGGGCTGGGGTAATCTCTTATCAAAACCATTTAATCCTTCTGTTGCCCTTCATTCACCTCCTGTTAGGTTCCAGTACTGTGTTGCAATGGGACCCCATACTTTCCCCACTGCAAGTGCCCCCAGCAAGAAAGTGGCAAAGCAGATGGCTGCAGAAGAAGCCATGAAGGCCCTCCATGGGGAGGCAACCAACTCAACATCTTCTGATGACCAGGTAGGGTCATTTTCCAGCTCAAAATATACAGGTCGTTTTTAGCAACTTAGTGGCTTTGGTTTGCTCATGACTGCCGAGGGCGAGTCCCTTCAGAGTTTCTTTGAGTTATTTATGGTTCCTCTTTGGTGACTTCTCCTTCAGCCTGGAGGTGCGAACACAGAATCGTTTGATAACTTGGAATGTATGATGCCCAACAAGGTCAGGAGGATTGGCGAGCTTGTCAGATACCTGAACACCAACCCTGTGGGTGGCCTGTTGGAGTATGCCCGTTCCCATGGCTTTGCTGCTGAGTTCAAATTGGTTGACCAGTCCGGACCTCCTCACGAGCCCAAGTGAGTGCCCTAGTCTTGGCTACAGCAGTATGTCACAAGGTAGGGACTTCCTGTCACAAAGGGAAAGAAAGGAAAGATGTGCATTAGCTGTAAATGATTGGAGGGGTAAGTTCAAAGAAACAAGTTCAGCCCTATCTCCATGGCCTCCCTGAAGACATTAGATTAGCCATCTTAAGAATATAATGTCTCTGCCAGTGAACATGATCCTTTCTAATTTTTCAAAACTAATTTCAATATTAAAAGGAACATATATACATAGAGAATCATTCAAACTGATTGAAAACATATATAATGAAAAGTCTTGTTTCTACCCTAGGCTTCTAGTTTCACTCCCCAGACCTGTGTTCTGTTACCAGCTTTAGTCCTTCTAGAAATTTCCATGCATATATGAACCCATTTTCTTTTTTATAATAAAAATAAGTATGTATCACATCTGCTCTACACCTTGACTCTTATACTTACTGTCTTAGAGACTGCTATACATGGGCATACACACACACACACACATCTACTAGGGTCTTTTGCACAGGTATAGACTCCATTAAATGGATGCTTAGAATTTAAAAATTGTTTTTATTAAATGAGATATAAAACATTTTTGCTAAAATGGGTACCCGTGTACCCACCACCCAATTTAAGTAATAGAATGTTACACTTCCTTTTAAGGTCTCCACGTTGGGTAATATATGAAAACACTTCCAATCACGTTTAGGTTTGTTTTGGTCTCACTATTAGAAACACTCCTGCAGTGAGTCTCCTTGTGCTGTATCTTTGCTTACATGTGCAACATTGTGTGTAGGATCAATTTGCAGAATGAAATTTCTGGGCCATGGGTTGTGTGTACTTTTTTAAAAGTTTTAAAATTTTTTATATAGGTGATAGACTAAGAGTTTAAAACTAAGAAATATAAGTAGCTCTTGCTCATCCAGTCTCCCTTTGACCTAGCTCTCACCTCCACACAGACACACACAAACTAGCATGTAAGTAATTTTGCATCATTTGTTATATATTCTTCCAGAGTGTCTGTCTGTATGAATACAAGCAAGTGTATTCCCACCCTTTTTGACAAAGAAGATACATAATACATGCATTGATCAATAGCTTGCTTTTTTCACTTAATAGTATTATCTTGAAGAGCGTTCCCTATCACTTTGTATTCTTTTTGTATAGTGTTCCAGTACATGGGTTATCATGATTTATTTAACTAGTCACTAGGGATGCACACTTGGATTATGTCCAAACTTTTGCTATTATAAACAGTGCTGCAATGAATGACACATTTCTGTGCATTTAAAATTATGGTAAATATTGCCTAGTTTTCCTCCAGTTGGATCACAGAGATTTATGCTTCTGCCAGCAGTATATAAGAATGACTGCCCTACACCCTATGGAAGTGTTTATAAACATTAGCAAAATTTTATCTTTGCCATTCTGAAATCTGAAAACTGTTAGTGCAATGCAAAGATGAATCTACACTAGGATATTTATTATTTACCATATTAAAAGATCAAAGGAGAAGAATCACATGATCATCTCCAGAAATTCCAAAAAGACATTTTAGTAAAATTCAACATCCATTCAGATTACAAAACCAAACTGTTAAGAAAATACAGTGGAAGAAAATACCCTGTTTACAGTGGTAACTGAAAAGATAACGTAGGCACAGCCCTAGCAGGACTAATGACATCTACGTTAAATCAAATACTAGTGAAGGATGTAAAGGCAAACTTGGTTAAATGGGGGAAGAAATTATTACTAGATTTTTAAAAATCTGTTTTAAAGAAAACTTGTGCCCAGATTAATGTATATATTTAATGTGATTCCAGTAAATACACAAAGAGAATTTATTTTGGAATTTGCTTGATTCTGAAGTTCAGATGAAAAATAAGCCTGCAAGAGTATCTAGGAAAATTCTTAAAAAGAGGAGTGATAAGGGTCCTAACAGGTGTTAAAACAGTGCTGTCCTGGCTGGCATGTAGACAGAAAAGCAAATCAGTGGAACGGAGTAGAGCACCTGAAAGTAGATACAGATGTGAACAACCTAGATGGGCCTCAAATCAGTGGGGAGACGATGGTGTCTTAGCTCTCTAGGGCTGCTATAAAAGAAATACCTCGGAAACCCGAGGAGGGGTCACTGTGGGTCGGATCCAACTCCAGGGCAGTGAATTAGTTAGTATACAGAGAAGCTCTTGATTGTTATCTATTATTTAGTAATGTTCTACTGAAAGGTTCTCGTCTCCTTTCAATATCTATGGGCCTAGCATCCCTTTTAGATCTCCATGTGTCTTGGCATCAATCTTCCTCTGGGTCTAGGAAGTTCTCAGTGATGGGACCCCAGGTCCAAAGGACGCATCCGCTCTCAGCTTTTCTTTCTGGTGGTACTGAGGTCCCTGCCCTCTCTGCTCCTCCCTTCTGTCTGTTTTTATCTCTTGTAAGAAAAAGGTGCGATTTAAGTAAGGGTGGGACTTGAGAAGAATATGACTTAAGTCATGCCCTCTTGTGAGGCTTTCACTAATGGTACACCCCATCCTGATCCTAACTAACATGTACAGGTTAGGGTTTACAACACATAAAGTGGAGGAGAACTACCTAATATCACAAAATGGAGGAGAATTGCATCAGATCACCAAATGGAGAACAGCTGCACAGTAGTAGGAATCATTGCCTAGCCAAGTTAACACATTTCTGGGGAATGCAATTCAGTCCATGACAGATGGGTTATTCAGTAATGGTGCTGGGACTGCTGACTGTCCATGATACTAACTAAAATAAAGCTTGCTATCTACCTCCTTCCCTAAACCTAAATTCCAGTGAATCTAGGATTTATATGTAAAATAAATGAAATCATGAAATCACTAGCTAGAAAATGGGAACCTTTTAGAATTTTAGAGTAGCAAAAGCCTTTCCAATTAAGACACAAAACTTAAGGTCATTGTCTTGTTACCTAGTGCTGCTATAACAAAAATACCACAAGTGATTGCCTTTAATGAAAAGAAAGTTATTTCGTCATAGTTTAGGAAGCTGGAAGTCTGAATTGAGGGCAGCGGCTATAGGGGCACGCTCACTCTGTCAGGTCTGGGAAGGCCTGTCTCTTTCAGTTCTGTCCCTTCGTTCCTTGACAGTCTTCACATGGCATGACATCTGTCTTCCCTCATCTGTGCTTCCTTCCTTCTGTGCCTAATCTGCTCTTTCCATATCTCAAAAGGGTTGGATTAAAACATACCCTACACCAGATATGTATGTTAATCAACATAACAAAGAAAACCTATTCCCAAATGGGATTATATCCACAGATACACAGGTTAGGATTTATAACATATATTTTTGAGAGAACACAATTAAATCTGTAATGGTTATAAAAGATAATAGCTGGAAAATTTCACTATATAAATAATTTTTGTATCATAAAATGACCACCTGAAAAAAAATTTTGCAAGGGCTAATTTCTTTACTGTAACAGGAGTTCTTTTCAAATCTGATAGGAAAAATAGGCAAAGTATAGTGCCTAAGGTACTTGACTGCTAACTAGAAGGCTGGCAATTCAAAACCACCAGCCACTCCTTGGAAGGAAGGTTGGGCAATCTACTTCCGTAGTGACACTGCCTCAGAAACCCAAGAAGGGGTCTCTATGAGTCGGGGCCGACTCAAAGGCACATAATAACAACAACAACTTATGAACTATCTCAGCAAAAGGAATATAATAAATTACTAATGAAAGAAAGGTCTTCAACCTCACTTTGTAAATTTAATTTACATTTTGACAGTGTTCTTAAAACAGTGATGTAATTCATCATCTATAGTTTAGTCAAGGGTAGAGAGCAATGTCCTCATCCCAGCAAGACCACCTCTAGGAATTCCTTCACACACACACACAGTGCATGACATATGTGTACAGATGTTATTACAGCATTGTTATAACAGCAAAAGACTTGACTGGCCAAACACTTCATCATTTGCACACTAGTTAAGTAAATTGTGCATCCACACAAAGTAATACTATATAGCTAATAGAAAGAGTAAGTTCTGTCTGTAGGAAATGATCTCTCAGGTATATGCTAAGTGAAAAAGTAAAGTGGAAGAAAGAGCGTTGGGGTTTCAGTGGAAGTCTCTTCTTCCATGCGGGAGACCCAGGTCCAATTCCTGACCAATCACCTCATGGGCAGCCACCACTTATCTGTTAGTGGAGGCTTGCTTATTGCTGTGATGCTGAGCAGAGCTTACAGACTAGGAAGAAAAGCCTGGCTATCTGCCTCCAAAAATCAGCCAAGGAACACTCCATGAATCACAACTGTCTGATCTATAGCCGATGGCAAGGGTGGCCAGGCAGCATTTTGTATTGTGCAGGCGGTCGCCCTGAGGCAGGGGCTGACTCAGCAGCTGATTAACAGCAGAGTAGGGGGAGAGCTTATAAATGTGTGTCTATATGCACAGAATATTTTCGTAAAGGATAAAGAAGAAATGAACAGTGTTTGCTTCTGGGGAAGGAAAGACACTTTTACATAATTTTCGTGTGTGTGTTTTCATTGAAGGCTTACTCAAAAATTTAGGTTCTCATTCAGCAATTTCTACACAAGTTATCTAGTGACACCAGTGACATTCTTCACAATGCATGGACATTTTCATTATTTCAGTTCTGGTGGTTCCATTTCTGTTAATCTAGTTTCCCTGCCCCCTTACATTCTTTGTTCTAAAGTAATTGTTGACCACTTGGGTTCATATATGTGATTTCTTAAAAGAGCACAGTGCTTATGGGTGATAGTCATCATTTTTGAGTCAATTTGTTACTTAGCTACAAGATGACCTTAGGGGTTAGTTTCAGTTCACAATTTGAAGAGTATCTCAAGGAGTAGTCCCAGGGAGTCCTCCGATCTCAACTAGGCCAGTAGTCTGGTTTTTGATTTTTAGGAATTGGAGCTTCTGTCCACATTCTTCTCCCACTTTATCAGGGTCCACCGATTGTGGCCCTGACTAGAATGATAGGTAGTGGTAGCTAGACACCA